GGGTGATGAGCCCAGCTGTCAGTCAGAGAAGCTTTATGATGGCTCCTGTGATGCTGGTGAAGATGAAGCTGATCCTCCGGGAGCGACTGGTGTTCATTGGCAGTCGTGATTGTTTACGTCTGGATGAGCCGCGTGAAACTTTATTCTTTTGTGCATGTGGGTCAATTCAGGAGCTGATCTGTTCAGACTAATGTCGCATACAGATCACATTTAAAAGATATTGTGAACAGCCAAACAAAAAAAATCAGATTTGGTGAGAAAATCAGGTTTGGGCCACTTTTACCTGTTGTGTGAACATAGCCTTAGCTTCCACGTCACAGACTGGACGTGGCGGAGTCACGTGACAGCACGCGGGGGACAGTATATGAACACACAGAGTGGGGAAAGGATTAGCAGAATTTAAAAAAAATCAAAATAACCAACATGGGCAAGATTACATCGGTTAGAGGTTCCGATTGTCAGTTTCAATTACTTTTCGATCAATCGCCCACCCCTACTTGCAGGGATATACTCTAGCAATTGTGAAAATCAACGTACACTAAAACAGATAAAACAAGCAGAACATATTGTACTCAGTCTCATGTCTCAAATACCTTTATCCCTCTTTAGTAGTTATGTTTGTTCAGGTTATTTTAGTTAAGGATATAGCCTGTAAGTAACCAGCAGTATTTTCAGGTTTTCAGGAAGCAGCTAAAGGTAATTACTGAAACACATTTTCAATAAACAGCTTATTTACTGGAGTAATTTAGTCATTATCAATTCTTTTCCTGCTACTCAAGTAAATTATCACTAGAGTACTGACCTCATAATCGCGCTGCCACTATATTGGATGGCAACTTTAAGTTCGTTCAGCAGTGCTGTGGCTGTGTGTAATGAGATAATAAAGCCATAAGCGATCCAACAAAGGCAGTAAAACACATTTTTAAACCTTTTTAAATTATGAAAGCACATAAAGTCTTTTTGAGTGTACTGACTTGATTTCATTTGATTTGTGGTTGTAGTGATGACAACGAAATGGCTGAGATTTCCTGCTGCTTTATTGTTTTCACGTTCCGATCTGCACACTAGCTTCCTAAATGGTATGCGCATATACTATTAGAAGTGCACGCATTAGAGTAGTAAGTGAAGTACAGAAGTGTGTGGTTTGGGATGCAGCGTTAGATCAGCCAGTGAGACGCAATCAGCAGCTCCAGAGGCTGATTATATCTTCTCTGTGATCAACTGCTTAGTAACAGTTGAACATCTCCAAGCAAAAGTTTGAGATACAGGGTGATTTAAAAAGATTCATCCGATTTCAAAATGATTTATTTCACTTGTAAATCGTTACAGAACAACGCAGTGAACTGTAAATGGTTTAAATGTTTGAGTTTATTATGTAATTTTACAGGTGCTCATTATGAACCTCCTCCAGCTGTACAGACAACATCAACACCATAGTCAAATTCATCCCACACTGGATTGAGCATGTCGGGTGTCGCTGCACTCACGGCTCTTTCAGTGCGATTTCGGAGATCATGCAGTGTTGTGGAACCCACGACGGACGCTCTGAGCTGTTGGAGCTTCACTGCCAATCAAAATCACGTTGCACAGTTATGACGGATTCACTCTTATTGAAATGGAGAACGCAGAACGCTTTCTGCTCAGGGGTCTCATCTCCTCTCAGACTGAAGGGAGCCATCTTCCGGTGCCAGTCAGAAACTCTATGACTCCCTCTTTCAGTTGGTATGTGATTGGTTCCTCGGCGCCTCACGGATGTAAAAATACGGCGCTTTGAAATCAGATGAATCTTTTTGAATCACCCTGTATTTGTTGATTAAGGATCATCTGAGGTAAATTGAAGTTAGCTTCGTATTCGCCATCTTTCGAAATCTGTTCTACGTTTAAGGCATCTCAGTGTTACTGCAGCGCTTACGGCGGAATGGACAATCCAAATGAGAAGCTGGTGAGTAAGAAGGAGACTTGAGCTTAATATTTATGCATGAGCTTATTATTTAAGAGCTTTGACAGCTCTGGTAGCCACTCATGAATGAATTCTCAGTTCTCTTCCTGAAGACAGTGGAATTAAGGTGAATGACTGGCCGAACAACAAAGGAAGAAAGATGAAAATTCCACCTTAACATGACTCTGTGGCTTTTTATTACAGTAATAATGGCATACAAGTTGAAAGCAAAAAACTTTCCTTCTCTAAATGGGAAGGTTGATTCCACAGTTGTAGCTTTCTTTGGCTAGAAACCTCCTGGCTAGACGAATCAGAACATTTTAAACATAATAATGTTCAAAACTTTTAAAATCATCTGTACACATTTAATACAATTTAATACAATTGCTAATATACTAACCACTGTAATACTAATATAAATCGCCATCTACAACAAGACAACCTTATTGATCTGCCAGTACACAGAAATAGTAACTTAATTCCCAACGCAGCACTGGGACAGTAAGATAAAGGGCTCAGAGAATACTAATCGGTAGCTAAGAGCTTCAGATTTAGGATGAAATTAGATTAGATGGTAAGTGTTATTTTCCACACATTCTTGCATAAATGTCAGAGGTGAGGCTCTTTGTACAGATCTATACTAATCAAATATATCTCCCATTAGAGAGGAAAGTGGGAGTGGGGCTTTACTTTCCTGGGGCTGATTGATCGGGTTCATTTTGCAGACGGCAAGGTGTCTATACTGAAACTGGAGAAAGCAAACTATAAGAGCCTCAGACTGAAAACTACAGACTGCAGGTTAGGAACTGACGCCACAATAGTATTCTGAGGTATGCTATGCTTAGAAGGCTGGCCATCAAGCAAAGCTACTATCAATATTCTGGACATCTTGCACACAGGGCTGGGCGATATGGCCAAAAATGTTATCACGATAAAAATTTTCACCTGTTGATATCGATACATATCACGATAAAAGTCAAATCATTATTTCTTTCCAGTTTGAAGGCTGATTTTTGCTCCTGAGTGGTCAGTTGCCATTTTAAACTATCCTTTATGGTCAGAACACAACAAACACTCACCAAACAGTGGAGCTTCACAAATCTGTCCTGAGACAGTGGGAGAAAGTTTCTGGTCAGCTGTTTTTACCAGCTGGAAAAGCACAGATGCAGTTTTTGTAATATTCATAATTTAAGAAAGAAAACAGATTATTTTTAGCTGTCTGGTGACGAGGGCTCGGCTACCCGGTTACAAGTGCTAAACTGTTTAGTTTCTCAACAACAGCAACTTAGTATGAATAGCAAACGTTAGCTGGCTCGATACGTCAGTGATGGATCACACCGCCTTATAGACACCAGATAAATGGCTGTACATATGTTTTTCTAAGATGGTCTAAAAAGACTTTGCACAGTACTGTCTTTTTGTATTTAGTACACAACCTACCCCTGAACACTGGTGAAAACTTCTTAAAACCTTAAAAGGAGGCTTTGGACACCTAATGCTATTTTATCGCTTTTTGCCCACAAAATTTAAAAAAAAAAAAAATGAAAAAAGGGCTGTGTGGCTCACAGGACGAGCAAACAAACAGTATAAAAAAATTAATACTGTACCTCAGGTAGACTAGCCAGTGGTAAACATGGAGATTATGTTCATCAGTAGTTGGTTTGACTGCTTTGGCATTCAGTTTCGTAAACATTAACGTGATTAAAGCGATTCAATGTTGTCATTTGATGGGCTTAATGTTATCTTTTTGTTACTGATAAGGCCCAACAGATATGAGAGATTTGTTACTGATAATGACTTTAAGGGGCTAAAAATTCTGTTATACAACAGCCAGTTCCGGCCATGCAAGCTGATTGGTTGAGAAGCGTTCTAACTGTGCTGATATTTCACCATAACATCACGTTTTTTCACAAACACTGTATCACTCCGCTGAGACGCCGTTGCTAAGCAACGACTTTGACAGCTGTAGGAGACGCTCAAGCCATTTGAACGTTTTTACTTCTTACTTTGCCACGAACAGAAAATGGACACTTTTAAGATCACATTTGACCGACAGCCGATTTGGTCAGACTCTGAAGATGAGACGACACTAAATTCCCAAACTGTCAGTTGGTCTGTGTGGAGCTGGAGAACGAACTGCCGGCTGTGCAGCGAGTGGGCGGAGCTCGTTACTCCGATGTAGCAACAAGCTGCTCGTTAAGGAACTATAATTTGGTGAAGGAACTGCGAACATTAAAACATATTAAACGCCGCGTTCACGGCCCAGTTTATTAATTTATTACTTTATTTATTTAACTGTTGTATAAAAGCAATAGAACACTCGAGGAGTGTGTTATCGCCAATAACATCACGGCTGTGATGATCTATGGCGACCAAATCACAGCTGTGATGTTATTTTGCGATAACACACTCCCTCTGGTGTTCAATTGTTTAAATATCATCAGACAACTTTACATGTATAATTTTGATTTTTACTTTATACTACAAGAGTTTTATTTAAACAGTGTTTTAGTAGGAGAGGATCATCAATTCTGAATATTTTAATTTAAGAAATGTAAGAAAAAAAAACAAAAACTCACAGACTTTGTGGTTTTGGTTTATGTTACTTCTTTTTCATTTTTTATCAGTTCTTTTCATAATTTTTATTTTTTTGGCATTATATTCATTATTCTCATGATTAAGGTTAGGTTTGAATAAATCTCACATGTAATTATGTGAACCATGACTGTGTTTCATGTTGAGATTTACCAGTTCAGTCTGTATTGCAGTGGTATAGTTAAACAAAAAGTTAGAATACTGGCAACACCGTCATCAGAAAAGCTGGAAATTAATGGCACATTTGTCAACAACAGTAAAACCGCGGGTCATCAATATCGGACGATATTTGGGCAATCGATATATCGGTCACGCTTTTTCTGTCAGCTGCTAACTGTGTCTAACTGCACAACACAAAGAATGCACTTTTAATCTCCCACTCAGAAAAGTGACGCCACATGAGACAGATGAATGAGGACAGTCTGTCCCAATTGTAGATGAAGAAGAACAATGCGTGTCCACTCACGTTTCATGGTGCCTGCATCCTCTTCCTCGTCATCTGAGTTTATGACCATTGTGCCAAGCTGAGACACCATGGTGCCATCGTGCTCGATCATAGTTCCCGATGAGCTACCTAGAGAACCTGCTGCACGGACGGTTCCGAGGTCTGATGCTCCAGCCCTCACCATGGTACCCTGATCCACTTCATCGTCATCCTGTTTACAAAGGAAGTCGGAAATTTAAACTAGAGGCAAACTGGAATCATCACATAAAGAAAATAATAAAATACAGAACCATAGCAAGCAACATAGCATAACATTAGGAGGAAGAAATCCGGTGAGGAGCAGAAAATGCAAAGCGTAAGAAACTACACCAGCGTAACTAAAGTACCGAGTTTTCTTCATCCTCTGCATCCTGTTCCCTCTGCTGAGCCTCCTGTTTCTTCAGTTTGAGATCCATCGCCTCTGTGATCAGTGCCTTCAGGACAGTGTTGGACTTAGAATTCTTTATGAATGGGTGCTAAACAAAAGAAAACAGACATCTTATGAATGGATACATGTGCTTAACGGTTATTACCATCAAAAACAAACAATCTCTCATCTACAAAGTCTACAAAGGAAAGACAAGATGTTCCTGAAAATGTGCAAAATGGAAAAGCAATCGCTTTCCCAATGAATCAAATTCTATTTAAGTGAAGCAGGTGTTAAAGGAGAAGTCCACCAACTTTTCAAAATTTCTACATATTTAAATGGTTAAGATGTAAACGAAGTCATTCAGGCAGAATTGTTCACAGTGGTGGTGATAGGAACCAGATATTTGAAGACTTGCTACGTTCACATTACAAGCCTCGTTGCTCAAATCCTATTTTTGGTGAAGCCCGATCTCTCAGACACGACGATTCACACTCGTTTAGGTAAGTGATTCAAATGTGTCATTGATGTGAACGAACCGGCATCCTGAAATGACTCGCATGAGCACATCCTACTCAGTAAGGTCACGTGAATGAATCACTGCATCATCAGCACAAACTAACGAGCAGAACGAGCTTCGCTGAGAAGATAATTAACTCTGATCAGCTCTCAGCTTCATTATTAGAGCGAGACGAAGGAGAAAAAGGTGAGATGTGTTGCTTTTCCACTGTTTACAGGCTTTAACCTCTGTTCGGCGCTGCTGCCGTGGCAACGCTGAATGATGGCGCACACGCAGTGGAAAAAAGGACATGAATCCCGATCTGAGTGTCACATTAAGGTCGCATGGCCACGAATCGGATACGTATCTGATCTAGGACCACATATCAAAGTGGCTCAGGTCGGATTTAAAAAGATCAGATTTGTGTGTCCACACAGCCCTGAAAACTTCAGATCTGAGTCAAATTAGGGCAAAAAATCGGATTTGTGCCACTTCAACCTGGTAATGTGAACGTAGCCTTAGTGTCTCAAAAAGCTCCCACACAATGTTTTTAGAAAAGGTTAAGAATACTTTGACTAAAAACAAAGAATATGCTGCCTGATGTCTGAGACACTGTTTTATGATAGTTCTGTAATAAGATTCTAGCCTAAGGCTTCTTTTTTTTATTTTTTTCTTAATCTACTCATGATGGAAGAGCACACACAGGGCATTATGAGGCAAACAGTCTTCAAAGTTTTCTAAGATTTACCACTGTTTTACCATCATCAACATTACATATAAAAGCTCAAAAGGCACGTGTAGGTTCACTGGTGGTTTTGGATAGTAAATAAAATGTCTATATTTGTGTTACAGACATGGCAACCCAAGTAAGTTTCTCTACAATGAACCATTTTCCAATCCACTCTGAAAGACTCTGTTTACATCTGAACCACCGAATTATGGAGAAATTGGACCTCCCTTCTAAACTACATGCATAGCAGAGCAATCTTTGTGGAAGGACGGGACGTTCTGGAGAGTGTAGTGACTTTTAATGCATCATAAGATGGTACCTTTTCAACAATTCTGTGATGCTACAGCAGCCCTGGTGAAGTGCAAGTCATGTTATTACAAATTGGAAACGTCTAAGAGCAACTGCTCAGTCTATATAAACTCTCTGAACCATGGAGAGCTCATCTGGCTGTGTTTGCTTGGCATGTTGCCCCCATCCCTTAGTGACCACAAAGACATTGTTGAACCTTTGTTGATGCAAGCAAGGAAGAATATTATGATTAAATGGGTTTGGGACAGTCCTGCTTCTCGCAAAGAGTTGATTACCCTCATAAAGGGCCTAATAGCTTTTGGGAGAGACTTAGATTTTGGATTCATAGGGGAAACTTAAAAAAGGGAAAGATCTTTAAGGTATGCATTATATACAACTGCAAAAATAAAAACTAACTTCTGATAACCATGTGTCAAACTACATAAAGAAGTCAAAAAATCCCTTCTTCTCTTTACCCTGTTTGGCTTCTTTTCTCACCATTTTGATTCATTTGTATTCCTGTGCAGTTGACAATCTAAAACAATGATAGTCCCTTCCCACTGTCGATTCCACAGGACAAAAATCAAACAAATTGGCCAATCTTCATGATACCAACATTAATTCATTTATCAATATTATATATATATATATATATATATTTTAGTTTTTTAGTTTTTGTCATAATTTGAAAATGCCTACTGTCCTTTATATTGTGTGTAAATTTCAAGACGAATGGACCAAAACAAACGGCCCAAAATTTCTTGGAAAAATGTCTGGTTCCATTGACTTACATTAAAAGTGAAGCAAGTTTTTTCCTCCTGTAAAGGTACCATTCTGTAGATATGAGGTTTTGTACATGTATGTATACATACATACACACATACATACATACATATACACACACACACACACACACTTCAAACCAATATTTTGTGATGTATTTATTGAACAATAGAAGAGCAGAATATTTAGGTGATGCTAGGTTACTGTACTAAACTACCTGCATCTGCATTTGTAAATACTGTATTTATCGACAAAGCTAATCAAGATAGGTGTAGTACTAATAACTGCACTTTATAAAATGTTTATGTATCAGCATCAGGCAGGTATATATATCGTACATGAAAAATATCAGATACTGACACTGGCACACAATTCCCATTTTGGTGTGTTCCTAAATAAATAAATAAATAAATAAACAAACAAACAAACATCTGAAACACTCACAACAACATTCCATATTGTCTCTAGAAGAAACAGAATTTGTTAACAGCCAAACAATGTAGGTTGCCGTGACTGAGCAGCAGCACACAAGCCTAACATTTCCGTCCGTAATGCTACACAGCTGAAGTGGTGTAAAATCAGCGGTTTTCAAACCATGGGTCACAATGTGGGGACAAGTGGGTCACAAGGAAGTCGCATCAATGCTTATTTTTTCCATTAAAGTTAAATGAAGCACTACATTTAGAAATTAAGTGATTGCTGCAGCTACCAAAGCGCTCCTGTATTAATTCGAGACAAACACCACCTCCTCACAGGGGTGTAAAGCACACCGCCACTGAACACTAAAGCAGAGGAAATTGGTTCTCTGGAGTGATGAATAAAACTTCACTGCCTTGCAATGCAATGAACGAGTCTGGGTTTGCCAGGAGAACACTGCCTGCCTGAATGTATAGCACCACCTGTAAAGTTAGGTGGAGGTGGAATAATGCTCTGGGCCTCTTGGCTCAATACAGGGTACAACTGGCTTCTGGACTACTCTGTACTCCCTACTCTGTTGGAGAAGTTTAGTGAAGGCCCTTTCCAGTTTCAGTATGTCAATGCACCCTTGCAAAATGCAACAAAGCAATGGTTTGCTGAGTTTGGTGTGGAAGAACTTGCCTACACAGAGCCCTGTCCTCAACCACATCACACACCTTTGAGATTAAGTGGAACAGCATCGCTGAGCCAGACCTAATATCTGGCTCTATTAATACCCTCGATTTCAGGGTAAATGTCATTAGCAGGGATCTGGATACTTTCGTATGAAACAGGTGATAAGTTCAGAAATCACCCGACACACCCATCCCCGCTCCTGCATTGTAAGGGGGGGCCTAGGTGTGTTGTCCCCAGGAAAAAATAAAAGATTTTAACACAGAAAAGCAAGCATTGGTGTTCACTTTAACATTAAAATAAGGGAAAATACTTTACTAATTGTCTTCCAGGTTTTCTGACCTGAATCTTGGCTTATGAAGTCAGAAGAAAACATTTAACACACATCTTTCAAGTCGCCTCATAACCAATCATTTACAAACAGAGGTCATCCTAAAACTTGGACTGCTCATTATTTGTATACTGTTTGCTAAAAGGGCTGTACTGACTCATACTGACATCATGCTTTGATCCTAATGATTGTCACATGCAGCTGTACTTGTTGACGGCCCTCATAGCAGTTACAACAGTCCATAGTAAAAAGTCACAGCCATCCTCTCAAGAATATGCTTCTCTCTGTGAAACGACATCTATACTTACTACTGAAAACACGCATAATAATTTTCTAAAACTAACTTTTGTATTTCACAGTGCAGCTGAATAAAGACAGATATAACGTGTCCTCAAATCAGGTTGTACTGCAACAGTTGTAACGCAAGTGAAGATTTTCTTACTATGTTAAGGTTTATAATGTATAAAATTAAAGGAAGAGAAACAGAGAGAGTGAGTTTGAGAGACAGACAGGGTGCCGGATACAGACAGACGTACCTGTAGAAGCTGTGTGGCTGTTGCCCGGCTCTCAGGGTTCTTCACCAGGCACTGTGACACAAAATCTCTAAAAGGTTCGGACCACTGCTCAGGGTCCCGAAACGTTGGTGGGGGATTTGTTGGAATCATGAATATTGCCTGGGACAAATGTAAAGACATATACGCTTAACACAAATTTAAAGGTCTGTACTTTCATTTGTACTTATTTCAGTGTCTTTACAAACAAGCAACACTGGCCTACTTTTCTATAAGGAGGTGTAAAACACTACTGAACCAAAACATTACTAAGTGTGTGACAATGTGACTGTTTTGACCATATGTGACCATGATATATTTGGAAAATACTGAATTATCAGTTTTGCCCAGCACTAATGACTATCAAATACAAAAACACATGATACCACAGCAAAGTGTTTATACCAGGGGTGTCAAACCCAACCACTAAAAGGGCCAGATTAAAAATCTGTTGGCCAGCTGTGTTTTTATTTTATTTATACTTAACATTTTGCCTTGACCCCAACTGGCTATTGTTTATTCAAAATATGCCAAAACTATAATGGCAAAAAACAAATACTAAATACTTGAACGATTCAAAAATACTTTTAAATAAAAACAAAGTGATTTATATAAAACAATAGACTACATTAGCTGCAGATCACTGTTAAACCTCTTTAAATGCCCCCAGTGTACAGAAGGTTTTTCAAAACTGCTCATTCGTTTGAACTAGACACCTTGCATCATTTGTTTGTTTGTTCTGTTTATGTGGTGCTGTCCCATAGATTGTTGTTGGGGAGGAGGTGGGAGCACACATTACGTTGCGGTGAATGCGGAGAACTGTAGTGCAGTTCATGGACAAACAGGCTAATATTATTCGAAAATTTATTAGAAAATTAAAATAATTTTGCGGGTCGAATAGGATTGTGCCACAGGCCTGACTTGGCCTGCAGGCCTTGGGTTTGACACGTGGGGTTTATACCAAGGACAAGATTTAAGAGCACAGTCTTACCCTCATAGGGTGTATGTCTGCATATGGAGGCTTCCCTTCAGCCATCTCTATAGCGGTGATGCCCAGAGACCAGATATCTGCTACACAGTTATAACCTATCTCCTGAATAACCTCTGGAGCCATCCAGAACGGCGTTCCAATCACCGTGTTTCGTTTCGCCATTGTGTCCTGTCAGGAGGAGAGGAAGAAAGACATCATTCATGTTGGGGCTGTCTCTAAACTGCTTTATCTGCCACACATAACTTCCTTGATTTGAGCAAAACTTAATTTGTGTTCCAACAATTAAATCACTTCAGGACTATACGCTTCAATTCAGCTGCACCTACTACTTCATATAACCGCTTTCTGCTAAGGCTGACCTCAGAGTTTTGCCCACATCTCTAAAACTTCAGAAAGTGAAGAAACTTCAATAAAGAAACTTTTCTTATCAACAGTAATCACTGTATATCAGCTTAATGTTCTTACAGTTAACTGTCCTGCAACACCAAAATCAGCCAGTTTGGCCTGTCCCTCCGAGTTCAGCAAAATGTTCCCAGCTTTGATGTCTCTATGAATCTTCCTCATGAAGTGCAGGTACTCCAGCCCTTTCAGAGTGGACTGCAGGATGGCAGCTATTGCGTCCTCCCCTAACTGTAAAACACACAAAAACACACAAAAGGTGATGACGGCATTTTCAAAATGTACTTTTATTTTCATGAACTGAAAGAACACTTAATCACAGGCTCATGTAAGAAGCTCACTATTTTGACCAGCTGTAAACCTACTGTGTGTTACTGATGATGTATTATGAAATAAATAATAGGGGGGGGCACAGGTTCGGCTGGGTATTTGAAATGTGAATTATGGCAGATTCTTCTGACCGATAACCGACCCTTATTACTCAGCGATTAATCGTTAACTGACAAACCCATAAATTAGACACGAGCCATAAAAAACATCAAACACATCACTGCGAATTATATAAACAAGACTTTAGGCTTTTCTGAATAAAAAAAACACAGCCTAATGTAACAGACACGACATTATAACATAATGCAGTCTGTATACTTACTTTTACCATCTTATTAGCCCAAGGTCACAAACATATATGGCCTGACTGCAGTGCTGGGCTATATGAACTCAAATCAATATCACGATTAATTTAATATTTTACTTCAATTACGATTAATGAATGATTATTTTGTTTTTTTTGTTTGTTTTTTTGCCCTCATAGTTCCCTGGTTTGTACAGTGAATATGCCCTGCATACCTTAATGTAAATCAGGGCTGCAACAAACGACTAACCTGATAGTCGAATAGTCGATCGATTACTGAAACGAATAATCGATTATTCAGATTATGAATCACTACATTACTAAACCACTTTTATGTAGCTATTAGTTTTTAAATTTAGCTTGAGGTTGTTCTATGCATTTGCTAACTAACAATGAAGACAACAAAGATGAATAACATTCAAGAATTCACTGTATTAATGAACTTTCCTGCTAATACAAAAGACAAAAAAGTAAAACTCCAATGTATTTTTCTGTAAAAAAAAAATGTATACCCAAGGATGTGTAAAGTAGCAGCAATGAAATATAATAAAACTAAATCAGTTTTCCTTTAATCAAGTAAATAAAAAAAATAAAATAAAATTTAAATGTTAAAAATTTAACAGTGCAGTCTGTGGTCTGTCTACATTTGCTGCAACTAAATTTTACAATCACAGGTCTAAAGTGAAACGGAGGAAAGTCAGTATTTCTGTGTTCCTGTGTCGCTGTGAGTAATAGTTACTTGCTTCTCAGTTCCAGCTCCATTAACGATACCAGAGAACCTGCATTTACAAATGTTACAGCTCGGCTCAGAACATGAAGTAGGATGGAATTTAACATTAACATTAGCTGACTAGGTCGCTAGCACAACTATCGCTGCGTCCCAAACCACACACTTCTGCACTTCACACACTACACTAATGAGTGCAGTTCTAATGGTATATGTGCTGTTTTTACACACTAGTTAGTGAGCTAGTATGCGGTTTGGGACGCGGCGTATTTTACCAAGATTAATCTTCTTTATCCAATGAACCGAATGAAGTCGAATAATCGTTGCACCCCTAATGTAAATCGTCTCAACAGCCAGATAGGAATTCACGTGGCTTTTACGTCAATCCAACTCGACATTCGTCGTAATTTCGCGCAGCAGAGACCCAATAAACATTTGGGGTGGGGAAAGAAACAGCCGAACGCGGCCGTAGGAGAACGAGGCTGCAGGGTCAAAGAACAGTTAAAAGTCTGAAAGCAAAGTTTAAAGAATCCGAGGACGCGAACCAAAGAAGTGACCGCGCCCTTTTTACAGCTCGAACACATTCTGGGTGATGAGCCCAGCTGTCAGTCAGAGAAGCTTCATGATGGCTCCTGTGATGCTGGTGAAGATGAAGCTGATCCTCCGGGAGCGACTGGCGTTCGTTCATAGTCATAATCGTTTCCCTCTGGATGAGCCGTGAAGCAGCTTGACGCAATGTTCTTTTCTGCATGCGGGTCAGTTTAGGAGCTGATCTGTTCAGACTGATGTTGCATACAGATCACATTTAAAAGATAATGTGATCAGCCAAACAAAAAAAAAACGGATTTGGTGAAAATCATATTTGGGCCACTTTTACCTGCTGTGTGAACCTAGCCTTAACTTCCATGTCGCACTGTTTTCTGCTGGACAGGTAATTTAGCATACCAATCTACCTGACGGCCACTGTAAGTTTTACTACATGTTTGGAAAATGAGGGGCGAGGAAGGGGTATTCAGTTGGTTGCAACCTCACCACTAGATGCCACTAAATCTTACACACTGCACCTTAAATCTTCTTTTTCCAGCATGATAAATACATAATTCAGCACAGAAAATGAGCAAAATGGGTTGTTTCTGAAAACTCTGAAGCCACACGATTTTATAATATGGGGTATTTCACTCACCGTCTTGTTGCGCTGTCTGATAATGTCGGACACAGAGCCAGCCCCGCAGTACTCCATTACGATCCACAGATCGCTGTTCTTAAAGTAACTGCCATAGTACCTCACAACATGGGGGCTGCAGGAAACAGTAATGGAAAACTGTGAAACACTGCAAATCTAGTGAATTATCACTGCACAGAAAACAAAAATGCAAGAAAGAAGTTAATACAAATAATAGGATAGGCAACGATGCATTAACTTGGCACGATGTAAAGGTTACAGGTATGACTGTGTGTCTGTGTGTATGAGTGAGTGATGGTAGGAACGCATGTTTTATTTTATTTTTTATCGTATTTTATTTTATATTTATTTTATTCACTACATGTAAATGTTTGTCTGATACTGTGCACTATGAGCTCCTGTAACCAAAACCAAATTACTTGTATGTGTGAGCATACCTGGCCAATAAAGCTTGATTCTGATTCTAAATCTGAACTCAATCAACTGTACATGACATTTGCAAAAGCTATAGGGCAAACCAGGCCAAGAACAGAGAGTCATCGAGAGTGATGCTGATAGCGATGCTGTTTTTAATGATCACAGAAAACTAAACTGCATGCCACAATAAAATATGAATGAATGAGCAATCCTCACTAAATGTCACTGAACAATGGAGAGACAGACATGTGAGAGAGTGTTTGTGAACAAACCTGTTGCACTGCTGCATAATGGAGATCTCTTTAATGATCTCTTGCAGGTCTGACTCCACAGGAACCTGTTTAATGGCCACAATCTCCCCCGTCTCTTTAAGATGTGCCTTGAACACGCTGCCATAAGACCTGCAAAGGGCACAGGCACATTGCAGTACATCGGTAATTGTCCTCTGGGAGCGAAGCAAACAAAACAGCAGCCTAAAACACTGAGTGCATTTATATGAGCTCAAAAATCCAATCATAATTTCTGCAGTTATCTGTTTACTCAAACGGTCATGTAAACAGCATACTCCGATTTCTTAGATCACTGTAAGGTCTAGAAAGCTGACTAAGAAATCCGATAAGGAGAGCTGGATTTTAGGTCAGTAATCAGATTTCTCAGTGAATGTAAACTCTTACTCTGATTTCTTTTGAATCTCTCAGTCTGCGCATGTGTGAAAACAGACTGCGGTACCGGAAATAAGTGAGCAGCATTTAACACGCACCCGTGAGACGCAACAAAACATCTTTGGAGTGACGCAGAAACCAACTACATGCCTGACGAAATGAAAGATTACAATGTTCCTCATCTTACAGATGAAGATGTACGTTCATATATTCAGGTAAAGTGGCACGTTTTAACTCTTATTCCCCAGGGTATATTTTGTTTTTTTCCATCTGAATTTACATGCCCAAATCTTAAGGTAAATTATTCAGTAACTGCATGAAATAAATGTGAAGTGTTGGTGTTTTTTTTCCTGAAAATTCCCCTCAAATTAACAAAAAGTGTTTTATGATTATAAACATAATGCCATATGCTTACAATTTACTGCTGAAAGCCAAAAATCTTAGACGCTCTTTGTATTTTTTTATAAAAATATTTTTTTACAGTGCATTTTACTGAAGAGACGCCATCTGAGATCCAGTTTATAGTTCAGATTTGAGGAAAAATGGGTCGACTTTCAGCAGAAAAAAAATTGTGAGTTCAGCTTTTTTTATTGTAAAGTTTTAAAATTACATTATCCATCTATTTGACTGGAATGAAGACAGTTCTTGCTCTCATATGACCCCCACCTTTTGAATGCAGCCCATGAAATATATAAGTTATGAAGTAAAGAATATGCTGAAGTGCGTTTTGGAACCACTGGTGGTTCCACAGAGTTAGAGGGGTTAAAAAAACAACGAGTTATCGGATTATTAAGTGCATGTAAACGCACTCACTGCTGCTCGAGTAGACGTAGATTTCTGGACGTCTAGGCCATATTTCCCACTTCGAAAACTCTGTAATCCCTGCAAGTTTTGCAACGTTACAGCCTGACCAATATATTGTTTGGCCAATAATGTCAAACCGATACTGAGAACCTGCAATTTTATCAGTATCTGTGCAAACTACCAGTGATAACTGGTGACATCTTGGAGGTGTAACAAAAATAGCTGCCTCTGTCAAAAGGCTCATATGTAGAACTGTAAACATTAAAAGTTGACACTGTGCAACAGTTTACTGCATGTTATTATTGAGTATTCCAGTCAACAATTACAACGTGTCAACGACTCGTATGTGTATCAGACAAAATAGTTCATAAGTGTAGGTTCAAGCAAGATGACTCAAATAAACTGGCAACATGGTTTAGTGTTTTAAGACTTACGTTATTTTGCTTTACTCCTACAAAAACTGTGCCTTAAGGTGAACAAGCTAACCTGAGCAATTGCCATGACACAACAGAAACTGTGCAGCTAGGCTAACTACACCAGCTTCATACATATTTCTCTGTTTTTAATGTTAACTCAATAAGCCAACACATCCACCAAGAAGAAAGTGATTTACCTGGTGTAGAAGACGCCGTTACATTACACTGTTAGCTCTAGCATCAGTTCATATACTGATTTAACCTGCAGGGACTAAGAGATTTCCACTGGCTTTTGAATGATGCAGCACTTTATTTTCCAATAAAAACATGTAGTGTTACTTCTGTGGCTAAATTTTTCTTTTTGCCAAGGATTTTTTATCTGTCCAGGGCAACGTCTTCCCCTCCAGCCCAGCTAAACAGTAAGTTTGCCCACACCACCCCATAGGATGCACTGTGAGTGTCGACCTAATGCAAGACTAATGCTTTCCTTCCCACCTTCTGATACCCAGGCTTCCTGTCGCATCTCGGCATGTCTGACTGACCTCTCTGCATGGATGGCAGTTCACCACCTGAAGCTCAATCCTTGCAAGACTGCTATTCATCCCTGCAACTACAGGTCATTGTCATGATCTTCCGTCTCATTCGGGAACTCTCTGATTGTTCCGTCTGAAGAGGCAAGAAGTCTCGGTGTAATTCTGAGCCCTTCGAGCTTCAAGTACAGCTCGGCTTGACCCACCATCCTTTAAGACACGTGAGAGACGAGCATCAAGACGTTTCTCTGTCCTGGAGTCCAGGTGGTGGAACGAACTCCCACTGGCTGTCCGAACAGCAGAGTCTCTCATGGTCTTCAAACGCAGCACTTAAGTGAGCACTGAGTTTAGTATTCATTGTAATGTACTGCACTGCACTGTGTTTAACTCTGTTTCTTCTCTCTAGGTATCAACATGGGCTTTTGTTTCTATGAGTATCTGAGCTCAGGACTGGCTTTCTCTCTAACCTATTGGTAACTAGCAAAGATACTTTCTCTGAGTTGACAACAAAGCACTTTCTGTAAGTCGCTCTGGATAAGAGCTTCTGCTAAATGCTGTAAATGTAAAATGTAAACGTAAGACTACTCATATGCATAAAAAAGAAATGTGCCAACTGCCACCTGTCATCAGATGTCGTAAAGTACTGGGTAACTAAAACTATAAGAGTACAAAATCTAAATATACAACTTTATCGGCTGATATTTCTGGATATCTGAATTTTTAGGCTCGTTAAATGTTCAGGCCCTAACCTTAGCTTAGCTTAGCTTAATATTTTTTTCTGCCTAAAAACACGATTCAGACATAAATCTATTCATGAGGCAAATCAAATAAACTGGATAATAAAAAGGAAGAACCCGCACAACAGAACTGCAACAATTAATCGATTAGTTGGCGACTATTGAATTAATCGGCAACTATTTTGGAAGTTGATTAATCAGTTTGAGTAAATTTTTAAGAAAAAAAAAAGGAAAAATTCTCTGATTCCTGCTTCTTACACTTGAATATTTTCTGGTTTCTTTACTCCTCTGTGACACCAAACTGAATATGTTTGGGGTGTGGACAAGAAAACACATGTGAGGACATCATCTTGGGCTTTGGGAAACAATGATCGACATTTTTCACCTTTTTTTGACAGTTTATAGACCAAACAACTAATCGATTAATCGAGAAATTAATCGACAGATTAATCGACAATGAAAATAATCATTAGTTGCAGCCCTACTGCGCAGTGCTGTGGCCCTCCATGACAAAGCGAGTAAGAAAGCTCTAACGCTTCCAAAAAGACATCACGACTTTGTCCCAGTGACAGAGCGCAGAGGATAAACTAAATAAATAAATAAATGCATAAAACTCTGAATTCAAGGAAATTCAATTTAATTTCAAATAAAAATTCTTAACAGTTAAAGCTGTTTTCACAATGCTGAGCAGATAAAGCAACACTTTCACACGTCACAGAATCTGCTACTTCATTTCCTGTTACTCAACATCTGACGTGGTCAGCCTGGTTGGTTGGTGACCAAGTAGCACATGCTCACTGAATACATACTTACTACATGTCCAAAAGTTTGTAGACACCTGCCCATCCAGCGTTTCCTCTAAAATGAAGGGTATTAATAGGGAGTTTGTCCCCCTTTGCTGCAGTAACAGCCTCTACTCTTCTGAGATCATTATAATTTATTAAGTAATATCACAATGAAGTCCAGATGGCAATTATATAGTAATTTTTTTACCATTAGGGAAAATGCAAGATGTAGGGTAAGGCTCTTTCACGTTCTGCCATGAGCTGCAGTATTTAATTTCCACTTAAAATTGCCATTAAGTAGAAGTTACTTATTTTTCAGGAGATATTTCTGAAGAGATTAGATATTAAATTAATCCACTTGCCTAAAGATGGAGAAATTCAAAGAAAAATAAGCAAAAAATTATTAAAAGCTACAGAGAAATTGAGGCTCCTAACAACCACCTGGAAGACCTGATAGACCCCAAAACTGCCCCCATCAGATAAACAGCACTTAAAGCTTTCATCTCTGAGAGAGAGGAGAAAATCAAGCTGCTTCAGATCTGAAAACATCCACAGGTGTTTCTGTCCATCCTTCCACTGCGAGAAGACGACTCAGCGCTGTGGGTCTGAAAGGATGTGTAGCGGTCAAGAAGAACCTCACTGAGAAAAGGAGACGGACACATCAAACAAAGAAGCTGAACAATGGACTGACCGCCCCAGAGTCCAGACCTCAACACCACTGAATGTGTTTGATTACTTCAGAAAATGATCAACCAGCTTCTAAGACTGAACTTTGGAGGTGTGTCTGCAGATTCTTTGAGGAACTGAAAGTGAGTCTCCTGAAAAGAATGGAGGCTGGAATAAAGGTAAACAGTGACAAACTAAATATTGAAAAATCTAATATTATATGTAGTTGTTGAGGCTTCTGTGACACCCCCCCCCAAATGGTGGTCTCTGACTTACGCACAGTACTGTACATTATCATTCAAGCATAGAATTGATGTAAGATCTTTAGTTCTGGGTCACAAACATCACTCTAAATCATCCCAAAGATACTGGAAGGGGCTCCACTGGGACCTTAGGCTCATGTGTAGCTGCTCCAAAGCACCCCACTCTAGTAGTCAATGCTTTTCCGTGCAGATTATAAGCCGCGTGTGCATAATTGAATGCCTGCGTCAGCAATGGTCGCACTTTAAAGTAGTCCAACAGAAGAGTTTTATCTTTAAGAAATGGTCGACCTGAGATAAAAACAGATTTTTGGCTTCCAGTGACAGCCTCTGTCTTCACTGATAGGCTTTACACAGAGTAAATCAGGTCTTACAAACAAAATAAAACTGCTGCAGAAATACAGACTTCATTGTGAGCCACAAGCTATTTACGGGGCAGATCTTGTAACCGATATCATGCACGTATGCCCTTGTCTTTTGGTTGGCATACGAGCAGTCTCAATTTCTAGGCTACTCTAATGACATGCGGTGACACTATGAATGGAATTTGAGCATCGACAATCACGTTTCACGATAACATAAGTCAGTTATTTTATCCCAGTGGATCAAATAATGTAGCAAGATAGGATTTACTGCCTTTGTGTGTTGCCAGCAATCCGAAGGGGTCCATAATGATCTATACCGAAAGGACTGCAATGAATACTTGTAAAAAGTCGATAAATTCAACAATTACAACATTCAAAAACGTTGGAATAACTGACTGATCATGAAGGCATTAAACTTGGTCAGACTGGACGGGATCAGGTGGATGAGTATTTTATGTTTTTTATTAACATTTCTGCTTATTATATGTTTTTATTACCTTGCAGTATTTCAGATAAGTTTAATTAAAAACAAATAAAAGGCTAAATTACTACAGTTTATAAATTTCTACATAAAAAAACAAGTAATAACAATGATCGTTAATGATTATTTATACTGATAATGATAACAGTGATGACAAAAAACAATCAGTTGTTTCATGCGATCATTAAAGTGAAAAATAAGTCTGAGCTTTTCTTAATCTTCCAATATCGTCGCTGTCCAAAGAGAAACATGTATCTCCATTTTTTTCTATTTTCACTTTTCTACATCATTTGAGCAAAGCAGGTATTATTTACATTGTGTGAAAATTTCAAGAGGAATGGACCAATAAAAATGCACCAAAACTGATTTGAAAAAATTTTTCGTTTTTGCCCTCTCCTGTAAAGTTACTATTTTGGAGTAGGGCTGGGCGATATGGCCAAAAATGTTATCACAATAAAAAAATTAATATCAGTCGATATTGATACATACCTCGATTTAAAGAGATGTATCGATACCTCTCGTCAAATCATTATTTCTTTCCAGTTTGAAGGCTGATTTTCGCTCCTGAGTGGTCAGTTGCTGTTTTAAACTATCCTTTATGGTCAGAACATCACACTCACTCACCAAACAGTGGAACATTTTACAAATCAGTCATGGGACAGTGGGAGAAAGTTTCTGGTCAGCTGTTTTTACCAGCTGGAAAACACTGCCTTACTGCCATCACTCCTACCACATCCATGTCAGAGTATATCATAGTATTCAACACCACCTAGCAGACGTCTGGATTTCTCTATTCTATCACAGTAGTAGTGCGCCCTCTCGTGGCGACAGCAGAGTAGTGTCGCTTTCCTTGAAGCAGAAAACGCCACCAGGGCTGCCGCTAGAACTTGGGAGTGTGAGAATGGTCTATTATATCGAACATTTATCGAACATTTCTCATATTTCTATCGAGGAAAGTTATATTGCGATAATTAACGTAATCGTTTTATCGCCCAGCCCTACTTTGGAGACACGTTCTTCTTTGGACAACGATGATTTTTAAAAACAGAAATATTCGCTAGTTGTAATCCTTTCTAGAAGAAAACGTCAAGACCTGTGCACTGAACAAGAATAAGAGCCATCTGACTCTCCTCCCTCCACTCACCCCTCTCCAAGCTTCTCCAATACATCAAACACTTCTTCAGGCTGCTTGGTCAAATTGTCCTCACTGAGCTTCTTCAATTGTCTGAGAAAAGAAGAGAGAGAGAAATTCATTTCACAGCTGTGGAAGCTCCTATAAAATACAGCCACATCTCTTGTTGGCTGTTACTGCAATTCATGTATCTGAGGACAGAAAGATCACAGCCTGTCACGGCCAGCAGAAACAGACTGTAGTCAATGGTAATAAATATGTAATGAGCACTCTTCTGAAGAGTGAATAGCAAAAGTTTAAAAACCGACAGTGTACTGAAGTCCTCTGGCTACTTTATCTCTTCACTTCCCTTTTTCTCCCTCTCACACACAAGAACAATCAATCCGATGACAACCAGGATTATTTACAACAATAACAGTATTGACGTATGCAGTACGGTAACTCAATTATTTATAGAGGTGTAACGTGTTAACCCTTGTGTGGTGTTGATGTGTGTGTTACTCAGTGGTCTGGTGGACCCACCACATTATTGTTTATTAAATCAATATAGCCATAATAATTTATGTAAAAATACCAGATGTTTAAAATATCACAAGTGTCCAGCGTAGGGTTCTCCTTTAGCAGCTGTAGCCAGTCAGCAGCCTGTCCATGTTGTCCACCCTCCCACACACACACACTAACAGCAGGCCATGTAGGAGGAGAACAGAGTGAAGGACACAGCACCTCCACACTGTTACTCCCCGCGGGTTCAGCCCAACACCACACGTGTAATATAAATGTGTGGGGGGTGAACAGAGTGAAGACACTGAAAATGGGTTATTTTATATGTTCTTCACAGAAAATGAGCAAAGACCAAGAATCTGAGGCTGAAATAATAATAAATTACATCTTTTTTACTTTTGGTAAACACTGAAAATGGGCCCCACAGACCTGAACACCACACAAGGGTTAAATCAAAATGCAACATCAATCAAAACAACCACCTGATTTCAACCTTTGAAAAAAGAGACGAGAATGTATTTTTATTTATTTATTAATTTATTTATTTCAAGCCTTTTCCCCTTCGTCAGCCTCGGGGCTGCTGCACTGGTTTGAACTCATCTCTGCATCAGCCTTAACTGCTGTGTGTTTCAGGTCTCTTACGAGGCAAAAGCAAACTACAGCGTCTTGCAGTCTCTCCAAGAATTTCACACAAATTCAATCAACCCTCACAACATTTGCAAGGACTTGCAGATCCGTCCAATCACTGCAATCGACGATAACTGACAAGTAAGCCGATGACTTAAAAAGGTGACATCTAATGAAAGCATTTATTTGTTTTTTAACAATTCCCTTAATAATATTACATCAAATACATAGAATATTACACACAATACGTAATTCCCCTTCACTATTAAAGGGGAAAATCTGATAATTAAATGGTTAAGATGTAAACAAATCATTCTGAGTGGTTCACCTCTAAAAGCTCCCTCACAGAAAGTCATTACTGGTCTGATGTTTGAGGTGCTGTTTTACAACAGCTTTTTTCCATTGTTTCCATTATTAGGTGACATCATACATCATATAAATAGGTATTTCCCTTTCGCTATTAAAGGGGAAGTCCACCATATTTTTTTTTTTTACAATTTCTGCATAATTAATGGTCATTCTGAGCGGTTCACCTCTAAAAGCTCCTTCAAGTTATTACATGTCTGATGTCCGAGACGCTGTTTTACACTAGCTTTGGAGTAAAATGTGGGTATGATTTTCCATTATTTTACCATCATTAAATAACAATATTACACATATAAAACTCAGAAAACACGTGTAGGTTCACTGGTGGTTTTGGATACACTGTTAGAAATACAGGTTCTGTTCAGGTTCACTTCTCGTTCATCAAGGTACAAACAGTGTAAATGTTCCCTCAAAGGTACAACAGTGGTTTTAAGGTCTGATTCAAATTAAATAAGTTTCTCCAGGTGAAAAGTTCGTATTTGTTCCTTTTCATAACTGAATGTTTTAAAACAGAACAGTAAAATAAAAGCCTGGAGACGAGACGGGGTGTGTGGAGTCAGTACAGCTTAGAGAATATCGTTTCAGTGGATTATGGTTCAGTTATGTTCCCTGACTAAAGGTACTGAGATGGACCCTTGAGGGCCCCCGTGACAGTTATTGACCTTTATTTCTGAGAGTGTAGTAAATAAAATGTCTATATTTGTATTGCAGTCATGGTGACCTCTGGCTCCTATCACCACCGCTGTAAAGAAATCTGAACCATTTCACACCAAACCACTCTGAATGACTATTTATATCTCAGCCACTGGATTATGTAGCAATTTTGAAAAATGAGTGGGATTCCCCTTTACAACAATGGACTTTAACAGGTTATTAAAAAGCCCAGTATAATTAATAACCCCCATAAATACTGAGAAGAGCCGCAACAAAACCAAGCACCCGCGAGATCCTGGTGGGACTGTTCTTGATTCATTTTTCCACATCTTCTTAAAGGGGAAATCAACCCCTTTTCAAAATTTCTGCCTTATTCATTTGTTGAGATGTAAACAAAAACATTTAGAGTGGTTTGGTGTGAAATGGTTCAGATTTCTTTACAGTGGTGGTGATAGGAACCAGGGGTCACTATGTCTAGAACACTATATACAGCCATTTTATTTACTATCCAAAACCACCAGTGAACCTACACGTGTCTTCTGAGTGTTTATACTGAATGTTGATGATGGCAAAATAGTGGAAAATCTGGAAAAACAAGTTTTCTTTGCGGATTATTTTGCCTCACAACATCCTGCATGCATCCCTCAACCAGTAAGGTATTGAAATAACAAATTTCAGGACAAAGGCTCATCTCAAAACTATCACAAAACAATGTATTTGGTATCATGAAACATGTTCATAATGTTTTGTGAGGGAGCTTTTAGAGGCATTAAACTCTTCAGACGTCTGGTTCCTCTCACCACCACTGTGAAATATTCAGACTCAATTTCTTCAGAACGGCATATTTTACATCAAACCACTCTGAATGACTTTTAAATTCTACAAAATTAATTATGCAGAAGTTTTTAAAATTTGGTGGAATTCCCCTTTAACCAAGACAGGTCCAGAACAACAGATAAAAGAACATAGTAGAAATTAAACCATCCATACAGATTACAGTGATAATCTGTAGTCCGTACTGGAACACTCAGCGATGGCGTTAAAACCACCTCCTTGTTGCTACATTCACTGTCCATTTGATCAGCTCCACTGACCGTATAGTTTCACTTTGTAGTTCTACAGTTACAGACTGTAGTCCATCTGTTTCTCTGCGTACTTTGTTACCCTGTTCTTCAGTGGTCAGGACCCCCATGGACCCTCACAGAGCAGGTACTATTTGGGTGGTGGATCATTCTCAGCATTGCAGTAACACTGACGTGGTGGTGGTGTGTTAGTGTGTGTTGCGCTGGTCTGAGTGGATCAGACACAGCACTGCTGCTGAAGTTTTTAAACACCTCAGTGTCGCTGCTGGACTGAGAACCGAAAATATCCAGCCAACAGCGTCCTGTGGGCAGCATTCTGTGACCACTGATGAAGGACTAGAGGATGACCAACACAAACTGTGCAGCAGCAGATGAGCTATCGTCTCTGACTTTACATCTACAAGGTGGACAGACAAGGTAGGAGTGTCTAATAGAGTGGACAGTGAGTGGACACAGTGTTCAAAAACTCCAGCAGCACTGTTGTGTCTGATCCACTCGCACTAGCCCAACACACACTAACACACCACCACCACGTCAGTGTCACTGCAGTGCTGAGAATGATGCACCACCCAAATAGTACCTGCTCTGTGAGGGTCCATGGGGGTCCTGACCACTGAAGAACAGGGTAACAAAGTATGCAGAGAAACAGATGGACTACAGTCTGTAACTGTAGAACTACAAAGTGCACCTATATAGTAAGTGGAGCTGATAAAATGGACAATGAGCGTAGAAACAAGGAGGCTGTTTTAATGTTATGGCTGGTGTATGTAAATAACTTTTTCTTTTAAAATGTACCTTAGTTTCCACAAACAGACCGTATGCACTGGGCTGTGAATATTACGTTGTGAACCTTAATGTTTACATATTACATCAATCTATTTTATTTCAGTTTTCTACCACACAGCTAGTCATTAAAGCTATTAATAATCAAGACATTTTAACAGATGAAATACTTAAAAACCGAATCGAATCGGTATCGACGCTGAAAATATGAATCGTTACGCCCCCCGCTAAACACAGTGGAGTGTTTTTGTGTGGATTATTGTTGGTTTTAACACAAAAATACACAGAAAATGCACATTTGGCCGTTATAAACCGTTGCTAGTCAACCTTTCAGACGTTAAAATGAGAAGTGTTTGCTTTTACGTGTATAGCTACGCAGTTAGCATGTTAGCTAGCTTAGCACTTTCGGGCGGCGTAACGTAAAATGTGCTCTTCTTTTTCTTCTCTAAAATAATTTCTAAAAATAACGAGTGAAACGGACAATGTATTTTCCCAATTCTCAGTAATCTGCTTACTAGTAGCAGCTTTACATTAAGCAGAAAACAGCTTCTTATTCGATTTTTTCCGTTCCACCTTAAACAGCGCAGCAGTGACATTACAACGCCTGAGGCGCCAGAACGTAACAGCAGCACCATTTAAGGTGGAACGGGGAATTTCGAACAAGAAGCTGGCGAATGGGAATCCAACTTCAGCCTCGTTATTTTCCAGACCGACTTTACTGTCTAGTCATGTTAGTCCTCTGAATTATTACGAGCGGGTTTTACCTGCGAGGGTTGTTCCTTAGCTGTACCTGTTCCTTCTTCTCCATCATGGCTTGTTTTGATAGCTCGCCGGCTAATGCGCTACATTTGAGTCCAACTTCAGTCTCCAAGCCGGTTAAACTTGCAGGCGGCGACCAAATTCTCCGTTCTTCTGGGGTGTTTTCTGTTGAATGTATAGCCAGAACGCTTTCTAAACGCTGGGGAGTTTTACTTTTATCATTATTATTTGTGAAATGTCCTATTTCCACACCAGTCCCCGGTCCGCCCGCCTCGAGTTCCGCAATGAGAAACAGGGTTGCCAGATGCCACCAACGGATTCCTCAATATTCAGTTTGTTCAGATCAGTACAGATTCGCTAATTATGGTTGCTCGTATCCAGTACTGTAGGTTTACTGTTGATTATTCAGCTTCAAAGTCTCCAAGAAGTGTTTGGACATTTGTGCTATACTTAGAAAAAGAATTAAGTTCATTGTGTTGGGATATTACAGAGCCATAAGATGACATGGTGATTATTTTTAATAAGGCGTGGCCACAAATTACTATCTTGAGGCCACAATTTACTATATTGCAGCCACTATTTATTCTATTCAGACCACAGTGTACTATATTGAGGCCATAATTTACTATATTGCGGCCACAATTTACTATATTGCAGTCACTATTTATTATATTCAGACCACAGTGTGCTATATTGAGGCCATAATTTACTATACTGAGGCCACAATTTACTGTATTGTGGCCACTATTTATTACATTGAGGTCACCGTGTGCTACACTGAGGCCATAATTTGCTATATTGTGGCAACCATTTACGATATTGAGGCCACAGTTTACTATACTGTGGCAACAAATTAATATATCGAGCCCGCAAGGTAATATACTGAGGCTATGTGTTATGAGAAATGTAAGTAAAAAAACAACTTATTAAAAATAATCACCACTTCACCTCAGCAGCTCCATAGGAAACAAAATGCCGTTGCATTTTCTTTATGGCAAAGTGTTCTTTCAAAAAGCAGCTGTTGAGGAGCAATAAAATAAACAAACAGCAGCGCAAGGCTTTACGGCGAAGTTTAGGTGGGCCGACATTCAGCTGTACACGAGTGGGTCCAAAAGACACAAACAGGTCAGATGCTGCGATTTAATTTTTCTAATTTTGTTGACACTCTTACACTGGATGACAGTAGCAGCATGCTCATGAGCAGAAGTATGAATTTAAAAAAAAATAAATCAAATAATTCAGATCCAAACACTCATTATGGTCGCATGACCACATAAAATGGACTCAAAGTTGATCTGAACATGTTAGATTTTGAGTTCATAAACTACTGAGGAAAATTAGACAGATTACATTCAGGCAAAATGCTGGATTTGTGCAACTTTTTCAAAGCATGTTTGCTGGAAAATCAGATTTACAGTTTTCCCACTTACTCCAAATGTAGTCAATCAGCCAAGTCATGTCTGAAATTAGCTTCTTTAGTTTTAGCACTGGAGCCATGAGGCTAATGTAGCTAACAAGTAATAAAAGCTTATCCCCCACCAATTAGCATGATGCTAACTGCATGCGGAAATCATCACTTGCCTCAAACCACTTATGTGGTTTCTAAAACCGAAGGATGTACCATTATCTATAAACATGGTTGTGTAGCTGAAAACAGTAACAGCTGCTTTCCATAAGCCTCAATTACCTCAAGTGTATAGATAAATGTACCAATGGCCAAATCTTCGAAATCTTTTTTAAACAATGAACTATCCTGAATGTGGCTGGATATCGAAGTTCAATACTTTTATGGCACGAACTGAGTGACCTCAGTACTACCAAGTATCAAAATATCCACTGAATGAATATTTAGTTAGTGAGATTTGGTAATCTTAGTAACATCCATGAGCCAATAAGCATCAGAAATCCAAACTGCCGCATTTGCTGTATGAACTACATTCTATATGCCTGTTATTAAAATAAGCATTTGATTAGTCTGCAGTCCGTTATCCTACCTCACATTTTTTTACAGTTTAACCCTTAACATCTCAAAAAAAAAAATACAGTACAGGCATCAGAATCAAAGTTAAAATATAAACACTTTTCTCCCCCAGTCTCATTTCCAAATCCCATACTTGAGGGATTTGCACCCAATATGGCAACAGATAAAGAGAAAAAAATTGCCTAAAAATAGCAGCGGACTTCTCATAACAACCACCGGAAGTGTTTTATTCATAATAAAAGCCCAAATGTGTGTTTTTAGAAGGGGAAAATAAAACAAAAATTTAGGGGGAGAACACATGTGTGTGTACATATATATATATATATATATATGTACACACACACGTATGTGTATATACACACAAATTGGACGCTATCGTTCAAAATATCATCTGAAATCTAACAGTGTCCAGTGTTATAACGATTTATGCATTAGTCAACAGTAAGCTTAAAAAAACAACAGTAAACATCATTAAAGGAGTATTGTTTATTTGTATATACAAAACTGTTTACAGCAAGATTTTCCGTATGAACTGTGACCCCACAGCAGAGGTTTGGATGTTTAAGTGTACAACACCGTTAGATTCCACATGAACGCAAATGTACAGTCAAGTTGACAAAAGAGAAAAACTTTGAAAGAGCACCTTGATATTGAAGGGATTAAAAGGGATCCAAATTCCAAAATGGGATTTTGGCAGCCGGGCACACCAGACAAGATACCGGGGTCTTTATTTATTACCCCCCTCACAGAAATCTGTAATGAGAATCTGAGCCGACGTACTTTCTTATTCACCTGCTGCCAAGCTTTGTCCTTTATGTAGTACGACGTCAGAAATACTCAGCCAAAAGATGCGGCAGCAAAAAGATAAAACATGATTGATTTTAGCCCGAATAAACTACGCCATCCAACCTTTACCTTTCAAGATTGAAGTTTGTGCCAACAATTTCAAAGCGAAACTGCCCTTTGTAGCTTAATGCAATAATAACACAATGCAAACTATTAGCCAGGCCGTTCAGGAGGATGAGGAAAATAAAAACACTCAGTCTGAACATTCTGAAGTCTCTTCTCCTTAATTAGTGCTGATTCTATAACACTCTGGAGTCTAACAGGGGAATTCCACCAATTTTTTAAAAATTTCTGTGCACTTTGATTAAGATGTAAACGGTCATTCAGAGTGGTTTGGTGTGAAACGCTCTGTTCTAGAGAAACTTACTGAGTCAGAACTGACAGGAACCAGACGTCCACCTCTAAAAGCTCCCTCACAGAAAGGTATTACATTAAATTGATATGAATTCACTGCCTGATGACACTGAGTGTGTTTACATGTACTTATAGTCCCGATAACTGCAGAAAATCAGATTTAGTCAGTAATCCAATCAACACGTTTACATGCACTTGGGTAATCAGATAATGGGGAAACTCCAGGTCTATATGAGTCAGACAGTTATCAGATTTCTGCTTTGCAACCAGCCAATAAACTCACAGACGACGTGATGTAAAACAAACTTCATGCCGCGGCTTTTTTCAAACACTGCGCCACTTTACCTGAAAATATGAACAAACATCATCAAGAAGAGGAAGAATATTTAAATTCTTTGTGTTTCTTGTGGTGACGCTGCTGGCTTATATCTGGTAACGCTGTCTGATCTCGTGCATGTGCAGACTGAGAAATAGTAAGAGTTTACATGCTCTGAGAAATCTGATTACTGAGCTAAAATCCAGCTCTCTTTATCGGATTTCATAATCGGATTTCTAGCTCGGAGTATGATGTTTACGTGAGCATTTGACTAATCGTAAAACTGCAGAAATCCGATTACGGTCGGATTAACGAGCGCATGAAAACAACGTTTTACGATAGTTTTGAGAAGATTAAAATCCATTAATGGTGGAGGGATACATGCAGGGCGTTGTGAGGCAAAACAGATCTCAAAGAAAACTTTTTTTCTTCTACAAAAAATTCAGGCATGTAGGTTCTCTGGTGGTTTTGGATAGTAAATAAAATGGCTATATTTGTGTTGTAGTCATGGCGACCCCTGGTTCCCATCACCACCACTGTAAAGAAATATGAGTCAGTAAGTTTCTCTGCAAGGGACTGTTTGACATCAATCCACTCTGAATGACTTTGTTTACTCTCAATTATGCCGAATTTCTGAGGAATCGGTGGAACTACCCTTCAGTGATGATGCACAGCTTGAGAAGGAGAGGATACAAAGGTGACATTAGATATGAACACAGAACAGAGATGGATTAGGGTTAAGGCACTTGGCACTGCATCATCAGCCTCTATTACACTATATTTAACATCATTCAACACATCCACTACTCAACAAGTGTAATTTAATTAAGAAAACTGTCCCACTCCCTTTAAAAAGAAACAACAGTGAAAGAATGAGGTACACTATTATGAAAGAATAATGCATTTTTAAAGAAAAGGGCTTAGCAGAGATACAGTATGATCAACGTAAAGCGTCTAACTAATTCAAGGAAGCTAAATCAAACCAATCAGGCTTAAACTGGGTCACAAAGGCCCAATCCCATTTCACCCCTCATCCCTACCACTCAGCCCTTAGTCCTCTGTTTTGCACATTCACATCTAGGGGTAGGGTGTCCCGATTCTTGTTGAGATAGAGGGGGAGGGCGAAGGCGAAGTGTTAGAGCTACATGACCCTCCAAACAGAGGTTTTTCAGAGACTCCAAACAGAGTGATATCAGACCAAGACCAAAGAAACCAACAAATGTGAGAATTTTCTCTGTTAAAAATGACGATAACCACTGTATTATCTTAGTTTAATGTTGTTTCAGTGTATTATGGTCATTTTTTTCATAACAAGCTTAAAAAAAATCGCTAATAGCATGCTAACGTCTCAGTAGCTAGCCAGCTAACTTTCCCGTTCCACCTTAAATAGTCCAGCAGTTCTGACGCCTGAAGCGCCAGAATGTAACTGCTGCTCCATTTAAGGTGGAAAATTCGAACAAGAAGCTGGCGAATATCTGACTTCAGCTTCATATCACTGAAGAATTAGGGGTGGGCGATAATAAATAATTGCCCCCCTCTTTGAAGGCATATGATGCCCTAAATGTAACTAAAGCCCAGCAGTGAGGAGCTGAACTTTACCCTCCTCTGCTGTCACTGCAGACTGGCAGGGTCGCCTACAGAGCAGCGCCAGTAGCTGTTAATGAAGTAATGCTCTTTTTTATTTGAGGGTCTCATTTCAGAGGGAAGATTTCAACCACTACCCTGTAACTCAGTTCCAAGGGGTTAGGGTGACACTTGAAAACAAGGGGTAGGGGTAAAAAGAAGAAATGGGATTGGGCCTAAGTCTACAACCAATCTAACTCCACTCGTCCACTGAAGAATGTGCTCTGTAACAGCATAAATAAGCTGAAGAGATTCTTCAGATAATGTGCCTGAGACGATTTTGTATTTTACTGATTTTACTGCCTGATAATTTTATGTAACACCATTAAAAAATAGCTTCTTTGAAATTACCAGTGTACTGCCATTTATAACACTGTGTTAAATGCACTTTTGCAGGGTATCTACAGAAAAAAAACATCTAAGCACCACACTGCTAACACATCCGCAAATTAAAAACATCCAGTTTTTTCATTATTACTGAATAAAAAAAAAATGCGCTGCCACACAGCGAAAGGAAGGAGCACTCCACCCTAAACTCACTCAGTACAACAGGATTCCTCACCAAGAACCTTTAACAAAGCTAGTAATGAATTAGCAGTAGTGTGACTGCGGTTTATTGTAGGGAAGTGAAAGCCAGCACACTAGACTTCAGTTCAGAAGATTAGCATTTTATCTTTAGTTCGGCTTTACTGGCTTTTGCACTTCCCTGTCCCAAACCGACAAGCCATGTGACCGCCAACTCGCTGCTAGCTACTACCGTCTAACTCTCCGAAATGCATTCATGGATTGCGAGTAAAATGACCCTTAAAGCCTGACAGAGTTGCTTTGGTTGAGATCAATTTCTAGACAGCTAAATTCACAATTTAACCTCACTGGAGCAGATTAAGGTCAGAGGACACCTTTCTAACACTCTGATCTTATTTTAGGGTGAACCATGACGGTGCTGATGCAGTCGGATGCAAGTTGAACACCCCTGGTCAAGCTACGTCCTGTAGATTTTATAATGAAAGCAAGTCTTAAATATGGCATTTTTCTGCACATTTTACTGCACAATTACTATTTGCTGAGTTTAACATACTGGAAAGAATACAACAAACCAGAAAACGTGCCACAACTTTTGCACAGGCAACATTTCATGTTTTTTTTCTCCCCAATATGTTAAATTGAGAGAGAAGCTGGTCAGTATTAGCTCAGCTAGTGTGATAAAAGCTCTGCTCACCACAGAACATAGTGGATTCTAACTAACACACCAACACAGGTTTAGATGATTCAGTTCTGGGGGAGTGAAGTCGAGCAACATGCAAAAATAGGCAAAAATAAACCTGTTCTATGGTGTCTGGGACTCCTTTTAGGCTAAGCTAACGATAGATCAGTCAGCAGGCCTAACGTGCCACAGAAAAGGCTCAGATCCAGCTATTTGGAGCTAAAATGACTCCCATCTAGAGGATCTCCCAGAATGCAGAGTCGAGTGAAAGGTGAATGCATCCTGTGCAGAGTGTGGCCAGAAAACTTCAGAGGAGAATTCCTACTCTAATGTCTTCTGGGTTTCTCAAACACTAGAGGGCGCTCCCGAGCAAGTCCAAAATGAATGGGTTAATATGGCGCATTTGAGCAAAATTATATTTATAAATGCTCAAACATTTTTAATGTAAAAGAATGCAGTCATTACCTGAACACAGAACAGCGCAAAACATTTAAACATTGCTGTTAGATTTTTAAGAGCTTTTAAACTCGAGCTGTAGTAAAACAGCACCTCATGTACGTTCATGACGACTGTGAGTGCGAACAACCAATGAGCTGCTCCGCTCACCAACCAATCAGCACTCAGTAGCAGTAATATTAGCGTCCTGCTGCTCAAAACCCGTTTGCTGTAGAAAAAAGGGAACATACAGGTGAGTTCTCCTAGCTTTTTTAGTGAAATACATCCTTCTACTTTCTAAAATTAAAGGAAAGTTCTGTGTAAGTGATTAGAAACTATTTTAACTTTTCATTTTTAGCCGTTTAGCTCCATTCATTGAGGACTCGCTCGTGGGCACCCTCTGCTGTTTAGTAGTCCTGTTTTTGATATAACGGGGGAAATAGGAAGAGGCCAGGCTCCCCTTAAACCGGCTCTGACTCTACTTTTTTGGCTAAGCTAACAATAGCTCAGTCAGCAGGCCAAACGTGCCACACAACACAGACTCAAATCCAGACAAATCAAGCTAAAATGACTCCCATTTAGAGGATATCTCAGCGCACAGAGTCGAGTGGCCGGTGTTGGAGTGAAAAGTGAACATGTCCTGTGGAGAGTGTAGCGCTTAGCCTGCACTGAGTCGCTATCAAGCTTAAGGTTTTCCTGACTCTGATTTGCCCCCTCTTTCCATCAGCGCCATCCATCAGTGAGCTCCAATCACTGACCCCTCAATCAGAAACAGCTGGAATGTGTTTATTTGGCCATTCAGACGTGGAATAGAAATATGACGCATCACAATTTTGAAGTACAGTCATCGGTTCATCGTAAATACTGCAGTATACCTTACTACTGTTATACCGCCCAACACTAATTATGCATTAAAGTGTGCAGAAATGTGTTTAAGTGGACGTGTTGACTGATTTTCTGTTAGAAAATTCATCAAAACGTCATTTGACCAGGGGCATCCGAACTTTTGCACACGACTGAGCATGACTTGTAAACAAAAACTGCCTACTAACCCACTAATTCTTCACAGTACACCCCCTTGAAACCTACTCAATCTCCACCTCAAAAGCAAAAACAAACCAACTACATTACTCGGGGGGCATAAAAGTCAAAGGCTCATTTATTTAAAAAGCCATTGTTTCAGCTTCAGTATACTGTTGAGGCAAATGTCTGTCTATCAAAGAACTTTTCTCCACCGTGTGCAGCTAAAACTGACACACAGGCAGTTACAGAAAAGCTTTAACTGTCACGGAAAAACAAAAATACTGAGACATTCATTTCTCAGTGAGGTTGAAATTAGAGAGTCCCTCAAACGAAATGGAAAAAAAAAAAATGCAAAACTACAGAATCTAGAATAAAAGTCTCAAATTTCACCCAAGTACAGCTGGCTGAAAGTTACAGACAAAAGCAGAGGGTGCACGTGTTTCGTGCCCTGGTGAGGGTGGACTGTCTCAGCTGCAGAATAAAGATGACCAGCAAAAAACATCAGACGAAGTATGTCAACGTTTTGTTGGTTTCACATGTTTATAAGGGAGTTTGGAGCAGAACGAGGTGCTTATGCGAAGGCATAAAGCTCAACCATGCCACGGTGTATGGTATGGATGCATGTAGAGAGCGGAGTAGGCACATGGTTCGGGCACCTTAATTCAAATGTTGGCCCAAAGGCATTTTAGCCAAGAGGAGTTGACCAGGTCACAGTTTATTTGCCAACTCCATATGGCTCAGTGTAAAGGTAAAAATGCGTTACTTGTCAGCTAATAATAGAACCAAAAAATAATAATAATAATAATAATGTCTGAATTAAGAGGCATTTGCTTTGTTAAAATGTTGGTGGCTTTTATAATTCAGGTTTGGCAGTACTGTGCTTTGAAAGCACCATCAAATATTGTAATTGAAACCAGCCAGTAGTGTAATCAAGGCTACAGGACACTTTCTTTTGGGGATTTCTTTCTTTCTTTTTTTTTGGACAGCTCACCACTCGTGTTTTTCTCGTTTTATACAAGAATCTTCCCGTCTGCTGTGAGGAGTGGGTGGGTTTTGGGAACAGTAGTCCCACCGTACTGCGCGTCATGTTGACTGGTGGTGATGTCTCCCTTAACCTCAGCCAGGGAGCTCTCTGCATGTCTTTGAAAGGAACCAGCGCCTACATCACGGAACATTTCTTCTCCTCTGACGGGGCGTTTCCATCCGCTTTCTCCATTTCCAGAATAATCCGCTTAAAAACTTCTACAGCTGTCTGTAACATTGGAAAAAAAAACAAATGAAATTGTGTAAGGGTACAATCTCTGCTGTTTTTCTATACTTGGAGTTTCATTGATAAACTGTATTTTCAAAATTTCTGTATAGTTCAGTGGTGGAAATGAAAACGAAGGCCCAATCCCATTTCAACCCTCGCCCCTACCACTTAGCCCTTAGCCCTCAGTTTTACACATTCATGTCTAGGGGTAGGGTGTCCCAATTTTTGTTGAGATAGAGGGGGAGGACGAAGTGTTGGTGCTACATGACCCTCCAAACGAAGGTTTTTCAGAGACTCCAAACAGATTGATATGAGAAAAAAAGAAAAAACAGTAAGACGGCTGCGTGAGCAACCAAAGAAACCAACAAACGTAAGAATTTTCTCACATTTGTGGGAATTTTCCCGTGCCACCTTAAATAGTCCTGCCATTCTGACGCCTGAAGCGCCAGAACCTAACTGCTGCACCATTTAAGGTGGAACGGGAAAATTTGAACAAGAAGCTGGCAAATATCTGACTTCAGCTTCATATCACTGAAGAATTAGTGGGGTGATAATAAATAATTGCCCCCCTCTTTGAAGGCATATGATGCCCTAAATGTAACTAAAGCCCAGCAGTGAGGAGCTGAACTTTACCCTCCTCTGCTGTCACTGCAGACTGGCAGGGTCGCATACAGAGCAGCGCTGGTAGCTGTTAATGAAGTGATGTGTTTTTTTTTGTTTTTTTTTCTGAGGGTCCCATTTCGTGGGGCATGATTCCAACTCAGTTGTAACTCAGTTCCAAGAGGTTAGGGTGACACTCGAAAACAAGCGGCAGGGATAAAAAGAAGAAATAGGATTGGGCCAAAGTCATTCAGAGTGGTTTGGTGTGAAAGTGGTTCTGATGTCTTTACAGTGGTGCTGATAGGAACCAGGGGGTCACCATGACTACAACACAAATATAGCCATTTTATTTACTATCCAAAACCACCAGTGAGCCTACACGAGTCTTCTGAGTTTTATATGTAAAGCTGATGATGGTGAAATAGTGGTAAATCTTACATACACCCTATAACTACATCTCCTCCATGAATGTGTTCTAAAACTACATTTTAGGCCAAAATCTTCTCAAAAATGAGAGTATTAACATGCATTACAACAATTAAACCATTATCGGGCTTCTGTGTTTATCTAACTACTAAAAAAGTGAATCTGATGTGAAAATGTGTGTAGAAGCAAGTTTCCAACCTGATATATGAACAGCAGTGAGTGTGCTACAGAAAATACAGTGTGCGAGTTGTTAACAATGTGTTTTTACAAACCTGTCATGCGACAATACAGAGAAATTACTAGAATTAACAGAATTAAATTTAAGGATGTTTTAAAAACGAGGCCCGTGGATTTTTGCTCAGTAATCAGGTTTTCAGAGCGTGTACACATTCAGTCTGGTTTCTTTCGTTTTGCTACATCCGCTACAGAACCAGACAGAGAAAAGCAGCCTGGGAAACAAAAACTTAACACCTACTTTAACACTACAACCACAGAATAGCACCAAATAACAGCAAGAGGGTCACTCAGAGTTTACTTACGTCATCTATTACAGTATAGTCTGGAAATATAGACATTCAACGTCGCTTTTGTTGGTGAAGCTTTAAAGATTTGGAATACCTCTTCCTTCAGTCGACTCCATTTACACTCACTGCTACATTACGCAAGCAAAGAGAATGATTAGATTCCTCTCATCCAGTGAACCAGCTTTTCCAGCTATTTCCTTCTCAGAGGTGCTACAGAGCTTTAAAGTATATAAGACAACCCGCTTCAAGAACAGCTTCTACTGAAGATTACTAAACTCTTCTGAGGAGCATGTATCATTATAATTTGTCCACATTTTCCAGCCTTGGTAAGAATATGTTGATGAAATTGAGATTTCCCATGATTCTCATATACTATGTTATATACTGTATTGTATATAGTTTACTGTATATATGCATTACACTGTATGTGTATGTGTATTGCGGTAGCAGAGCTGATTTACATCTTGATGCACCAGAAACAATTACCACCAACACGCCATGTGGCAATAAATCAATCACTTATTAGGTGCAATATGGAAACATATAATCTCCTAAGTAAGTGTTTACCTGCAAAAAGGAACTGCAGCAAGATGTACATCACATGCTTCTTTGCAAGATGCTAAACAATTGAGGTCCATGCTGTGCGTTTACAAAGAAATATACTTACTGATTGACTTATGTAGACCCTAAGTGTTCTCACTGTCAGATTACTGAATCGCTTGTAAACCTATTGGCTCATTCGGCTCATGTAAACATACTGAATGTCTTCGGTATCAGGTACCATTCCATGTAAACGTTCTGTGAGGGAGCTTTTAGAGGTGGACGTCTGGTTCCCATCACCACCACTGTGAACAACTGTGACTCAGAGCATTTCACAAATTTCTCTGTTAACGTATTGACCATTTGATTATGCAGAAATTTTGAAAACTGGTAAAATTCACCTTTACAACAGCATTTTTACATTTTAATACAATGTGTTGTTGTCAACCTGTCATGGGATTTTTCCTCTCCCTAATTTTGAATTGAAACGTTACCTGGTTTTCCTTAGCAGATGATTCCATGAAGGCAGCCCCCCAAGAGTCAGCTAACTTTTTGCCCTCTTCTGGTTTAATCACCCTGAATGAGAAATTAAAAAGAAGAACCAGATGAGCCATTCATCTCACGCTCCCAACTTCACTATCTTATCAGCTTTACTTTGCTTACCTTTCCATGTGAAGGTCTTTTTTGTTTCCCACCAGAACAGTAGGCACCCTGGAAAAACAAACAATATTTCATAACCACGTTTCGGTTCTCACACAGATTAACAGACACACACTCACACTCACGCCCTCACAGACTTACTGTATCTTTCCGACCATGTCGAGCAGCTTGTCATGTAGAACCTGAACCACTTCAAAGCTAAAAGTGATTACATATATAGAAAAGAATCTGTTAATTATAGTGGCTTCTACAAACTGTCAGTAAACCGTATCACACAAGTTCCTCTCAAAATAAGCAAAACACCAACCTTTTCATTGAGGTGACAGAGTACACCAGAACATAACCGTGAATGTCCATTGAATGGGACTGTGGGAAAATTGAATACTCGTCCTGCAAAAGAACCAAAAAAGGACACACAATTAACCTTTTCAACTCCTTGAGACCACCAGTGGTTCCAAAACGCACGTCGTCATATTCTTCATAACTTTCATATTTCATAAGTTACATTCAGAAGGTGGGGGTCGTATGAGAGCTGTAACTGTCTTCTTTCCAGTCAAATAGATGGGTGATGTAATTTTAAACCCTTATAATAAAAGAAGCTGAACTCAATTTTTTTGTCTACTGAAAGTCGACCCATTTTTCCACAAATCTGGGCTATAAACTATAAACAGATGGCGTCTCTTCAGTGATCTGCTCTGGAAAAATTATTTTTATAAAATAATACAAAGAGCGTCTAAGATTTTTGGCTTTCAGCAGTAAATTGTAAGCATATAGCAATACGTATATGATCTTAAAACATGTTCTGTGAATTTGAGGGGAACTTTTACAAAAAATAAATGAATAAAATAAAAATTCACATTTATTTCATGCAGTTACTGAATAATTTGCCTTACGATTTGGTCATGTAAATTCAGATGGACAAACCAAAATATACTCTGGTGAATAAGAGGTTAACAAACCTGAAAACAACTGTTGTCTAAATGGTAGCAAAACTTCATGCCTAAACGGTGCATTTAACACTCTAAATTTACTTAGACCCACTGTTTTAATCTACAATTAGTTAAAGGGGAATTCCACCTATTTTTCTAAATGTCTGCATAATTCATTTCTAAACTCCACTTAAAACCCACCCGTGAAAACAGTGCTGATAAGTAAATAAGGTTATGGGACAAAAGACAGAATGATACAGGCATAATAACTTATATAACTTCCTTGAATTTATCCTTCTCCTGGTATCCACTTGTACCTTTGTGTGGTTTTATGTACCAAAAACTATGCATAGTTAGTTTGATTATCCAACCTGTCTTAATCCCTTATGCTGCTTTCACGTTCTGTAGATGGACAACAGCAAACCGGACTATCTTATCATTTTAATAGAGCCGTGATGGAAAATTCTGCCACTGCAAGTGGCAGCAGTGAGCAGAACCATCTGTCTGGAGTTCAATTTTCCCAACTTTTGCCGTCGACCGCAGCAGTAAAATAAACTGGATGCTGATGTTTTTGGGGGGGATATATGATGATATGGTCCTCCTGCTTTTATACACCGTAAATATGTGAAACATATCATCACTGGTTAAAATGATCTTGCCCTGCCCACTGGTGCACAGTGACATCATCAGGAATATTCATTACATTTTGATGGAAGATTACAGGAACAAAAATTTAACCTTTTAAACTATATAAAAAGTGCTTAAAATGAATAGAAACATGAACTAACAATAAAAAGAAGAACTTCTCTTTTTTTACTTTATTTTATTATTATTTATTTATTCTTTATTTTATTTCATTCAGTAACTGCATGAGATAAATGTAAATTGTTTTGTAAAAGTTCCCCTCAAATTAACAGAAAATGTGTTTTATGATCATATACATATTGCTATATGCTTACAACTTACTGCTGAAAGCCAAAAATCTTAGACGCTCTTTTTTTTTATAAAAATAATTATTCCAGAGCAGATCACTGAAGAGACGCCATCTGAGATCCAGTTTACAGCTCAGATTTGTGGAAAAATGAGTCGACTTTCAGTAGAACAAAAAAAATTGACTTCAGCTTCTTTTATTATAAGAGTTTAAAATTATATTACCCATCTATTTGACTGGAAAGAAGACAGTTCTTGCTCTCATATGACCCCCACCTTTTGAATAAAGCTTATGAAATATCAAAGTTATGAATTAAAGAATATGACGAAGTGCGTTTTGGAACCACTGGTGGTTCCATGCAGTTAAAGATGTTTAAGATTTAAAGGGGAACTCCAATTAATTTTTCAAAAATTCTGCATAATTAAAAAAATCAAATGTGCACAAAGCCATTCAGAGTAGTTTGGTGCAAAATGCTTAATTCTAGGTAACCTAGTAAGTCAGAATTGTTCAGAGTGGTAGTGGTAGGAACCAGACGTCTGAAGAGTTTAAAAGCTATATTCAAGTTATTACATTAAAAGGTTATGAATACTCAGCCTGATGTCTGAGACATTGTTTTACAGTAGTTTTGAGAAGTTTTGGCCTAACAGGTGGTTTAATCAATTTATTCTAATCTGTTCATAGAAGAGGGATACATTAAGGGTGTCTTTGAGGTGCGGAATGACCTTTTTTCAACTCAAACATGTCCAAGCAACATTCGAAAGAAAACAGGCTGTTTTGGTTATTGTGCCTTTAAGGCTTATATGCAAATTAGCTCTGTTCTGACTAGCTGCCCTGTATTGTGGCTCATTCAAGAAGCAGTCTGGGCCGAAACACTCCTTTTAACCACAGCGTGTGAGTAAGTGGGCGGGGCTAAGCTGCTGTAGGCTGAATGGACTGATACAAAAACGTGAGACATCACAAAAACAATTAATTCAAAACAGGCTGTTTTTGCAGCTTAGTTTCCATATATGGACTGAAGATTGAAACATTAACCATGTTTAAATACATCATGCTCCTTTTTTTCCCAAAAATAGGAGGAAAACTCTTTTATATCTTGATCACAAGATTTTAATCCAGGGTCTTGAATGCTGGGCCGGCCTCTCGGGCACAGTTTTAGAATCATATTTAGGTAACAGGCAGTTCATGGTTTCACTTGAAATCATTCATCAAAAAGATTCGCGATTTCTTGTGGAGTCCCTCAAGGTTCAGTCTTAGGGCCTTTGCTTTTCTCTTTGTACATGCTACCTCTAGGTGATGTCATTAGGAAGCATAGTATACATTTTCATAGCTATGCTGACAACACCCAGCTATACATTTCTATTTCTTCTAAAGATCAAGACACTGTAGACAGACTGACCAGGTGTGTGGCAGATATTTCTCAGTGGATGTCGCAAAAGTTTCTACAATTAAATCATGAAAAAATGAAATACTGATCGTTGGTACAGAAACTCAGAGAAAAACGATTCATGAGAAACTTGGTTCTTTAGCTTCAGTTACCAAACCTGAAGTATAAACCTGGGTGTGATTTTAGACTCTGAGCTCTGTTTTATCTGCATGTAAACAGAGTCACTAAAGCAGCTTTTTATCATTTGAGAAATATGACTAAAGTTCGGCCTTTTCTCTCTCAGAGCGACGCAGAGAAACTTGTTCATGCATTTGTTACAGCAGAGTTGATCACTGTAATGATCTTCTAACTGGACTTCCTAAGAAAACTATACATCCCTTACAACTCATATAAAATCCAGCAGCATCCTAACAAAAACAACACAGAGAGATCAGATCAGTCCCGCTTTAAAAGAGCTGCACTGGCTGTCTGTATCGTTCAGCATAGATTTTAAAGTTCTGCTAATAGTTTTAAAGCTCTAAATGAACTTAAAGCACCTCTTACATCACAGAGTGTCTGTTTATGACCTTAGATCTCAGATACTGACCTTCAGTTCACCTTTTATTAGACAGTCAAGCTCAGAGCTCACATTTAAGAAGCATCTATGAACGTCTCTCTTTAACTGAGCTTTAATTAAAACTCTACATCTGTAGTATTTATCTTCTAATTTGATCTGTTTCATTTTCTTCTGATTCTAAATAAATAGTGATGATTTCTTGTATAAATATGTTTAATCACCTGTCTGTAAAGCACTCTGAGCTGCCACCGGCATGAAAAAACCCTCTGAGGGTTACAGAAAACCCCCCTTTTTTCTTTACCTGTCCAGCAGTGTCAACCAGTTGAAGGTTAAAGTCCTGTCCATTCACGGACACCATTTTATTAAAAGCTGCAAGATAATGAGAGAAGAGGAACCAGTTAAAAGAGAGAGCAGATAAGAAGACTGTATGTATTAATCGCACCGGAAAAAAGTGTCAAAGGCATCATGAACGAATGTCAATAACGATCCATATTATATATTTATCCTCTGTATCAGTGAGAGGCATCTGTCCACAAAAACAGGAACAACAACACTGAGTAAGGCGACTCACTGTTTTCGATAGTGGGGTCATAGGAATCTACAAACTGTCCTTCCACGAACTGAATAGTGAGAGAGGACTTTCCTGCAAAGGAAACCAAGGCAGCATTACTTACAGTTACAGGATAAAACAGTCATTTCACTGGGAACCGGATTAAGTTCCTCGTTATTCAAAGGCATCTACAGAGCCCCTAAAGAGACACTGCACTTAATTTTTAATAAGGTGTGGCCACAAATTACTATACTGACGCCTCGAATTAGGTTTCTCGTAACTTGTGGCCTCTATGTAGAAATTCATGGCATCAATACAGTTAATATGTGGCCTCAATACAGTAAACTGTGGACTCAATATATTAAATAGTGGCCTCAACAGAGTAATTTGTGGCTTCAATATAGGAATTTGTGGCCTCAATATAGTCAAATTGTGGCCTCAAAATAGTAAATTGTGGCATCAATATAGTTAATTTGTGGCCTCAAAATAGTAAATTTATGGCCTCAATATAGTTAATTTGTAGCTTCAATATAATTAATATGTACCCTCAATGTAGTTAAATTGTGGTCTCAACACAGCAAACTGTGAACTCAATAAATTAGTGACCTCAATATAGTAATTTGTGGCCTCAATATAGTAAATTGTGGGCTTAATATAAAAATTTGTTGCATCAACATAGTCATTCGTGGCCTCGATATATTAATTAGTGGCCTCAACATAGTCATTCTTGGCCTCAATATATTAATTAGTGGCCTCAACATAGTCATTCTTGGCCTCAATATAGTTAAATTGTGGCCTCAATATATTTAATGAACTCAACATAGTAAATCGTGGCCTCAATACAGTAAACTGAGGACTCAATATATTAATTAGTGGCCTCAACATAGTCATTTGTGGCCTCAATACAGTAAATTGTGGACTCAATATATTTAATGAACTCAACACAGTAAATCGTGGCCTCAATATAGTCATTTGTAGCCAAGCACTACTACTAAATAGTCATCATGTCACCTTAGAAGCTTCGTAAACATCTTGGTGCCGTTCAGAAAACAAAAGCTGCGGCCAGGTTCACCTGCGGCTCGGCGGAACCAGCACCAGTGTCGCCTGTGCTTCAGTGTTTGGCTACTAAGGTTGTTACTAACATTAGCATGCTAGCTAACTTTCGCCTGAAGGTTAACGCTGTAAACCCGAAATACCCGGGAAAACATACAGGACATATTTGCAGTGCTGAACGCCGGACAGTCACACTGCTTCTCCCTGCAGCCGCAGCTCAGCTCACAGGGACTTTCATGCGTTTAAACAGCGTTAGTGAGTCAGGACGGCAGCGCTAAGTCACCGTTAGCCACACTAGTTAGCCTGTTAGCTGGTCTGCTAGTTAGCAAAAGCGGGCCGTTTTACCCAGAACTTACCCACTGAGCGGTACCCCAACACGGCTATCTTCCTATATTTTGGTTGAGGCATTCTTGGAAGGTAGTTATCGGGCGTTTAAAGCAAATAAACTCGGTAAATACGCTGATAGAAGCCGCACTTTATCGCCGCATACGTAGCTCGTCACATGACAACAACAAAAACTTTTTTCTCCGAGCTCTCTCTCCTCGCCGGGGCCTCGACTTCTAAACTTCGATTAAAGACGCTCTGGCGGGGCTTAAAAACGCGAAACACGACGCCTACGCCTCGGATATAACCTTGTACTGTCTGCTGTCTCCTATTAAACGGGTTTGACGCGTCTTCTTTAAACCGCGAAGCGCCGAACCAAAAAGGCTTATTCACCGCCGCGGATCTCCAGTCACGCTGCCGGGAGAAGTTCAGGGCGAACTGTAGTGATGAGGAGTCGATTCCGAGAGAATCGATTCTTCAACTCCATCGCGTCTTGGAGTCGGGGTCGACTCGACTCGTGGCCAGTGATTCTAAGGCCCGATCCCATTTCTTCTGTTTACCCCTACCCCTTGTTTTCGAGTGTCACCCTAACCCCTTGGAAATGAGTTACAGGGTAATGGTTGAAATCTTCGCTCTGAAATGGGACCCTCAAATAAAAAGAGCATCACTTCATTAACAGCTACCAGCGCTGCTCTGTAGGCGACCCTGCCAGTCTGCAGTGACAGCAGAGGAGGGTAAAGTTCAGCTCCTCACTGCTGGGCTTTAGTTACATTTAGGGACTCATATGCCTTCAAAGAGCAATTATTTATTATCACCCACCTCTAATTCTTCAGTGATATGAAGCTGAAGTCAGATATTTGCCACCTTCTTGTTTGAATATTCCAGTTACACCTTAAATGGTGCAGCAGTTACATTCTGGCACTTCAGGTGTCAGAACTGCCAGACTATTTAAGGTGGAACGGGAAAGTTAGCTGGATAGCTACCGAGACATCAGCATGTTATTAGAGATTTTTTGTGCTTGCAATGAAGAAAACGACCATAATACACTGAAACGACAATAAACTAAGATAATACAGTGGTTATCGTCATTTTTAACAGAGGAAATTCTCATATTTGTTGGTTTCTTTGGTCTCTTGTTCTCCATCTTGCCAGTTTTTCTTTTTTTCTCATAACTCTCTGTTTGGAGTCTCTGAAAAACCTCTGTTTTTGAGGGTCATGTAGCCCTAAAAACTTCGCCTTACCCCTCTATCTCAACTAAAATTGAGACACCCTACCCCTAGACGTGAACGCACAAAACAGAGGGCTAAGGGGTGAAATGGGATTGGGCCTAAAGGTGGGCTGCACCAACAAGAATTAAGCTTAAACTTGGATGAAATCAAGGTTTATCTATTAATCATGTTGCACCATCACTTTAAATTTAAACATATTTAAGCTTCATTCAGACATCTTAAATTTCTAAATTTTGGTGTTTAAATTTACAAAAAAATACAATGTGTTTAAAGGTGGGTGTTCTCCGCAGAACAAAAGCCTCTCATTCTCAGTGAAACTGTACGTATAAAGCACCCCAGAAAACTTGCTTGTAACCAGAGTCTCTGTTGTAACCACAAACTCATATACAGTCCATGGCTGTCACTCACTCACTGATGGTCAACGATTCTTCCCGCAAGGGTGCGCTGTTGGCACTCCAGTAGCTTTCGTGTGCATCACTAAAATAGAAATAAACACAGATCGAGGCTTTAATCTCAGATTTGTTAATCCATGTCTAAAATTAAGTTGTAACTCAATTTAAAATAAAACCTGGTTTAACGAAGCCGAGGTGTCGACTCGATTGATTCCATTGGCAGGAGTCGAGAGTAGGAGTCGACTCCAGAAAACTCGGAGTCGAGCATCGCTAGTGAGCCGTTCGTTCGGAACAGCGGTTTCGTCACAAGCAGCAGTTTTTTTTTTCTCAAAAAAACAAAAAAAACATGAAAGAGGAAAACGGAAGGACACATTCTCTTAAGATGTGGATTTATTTTGAAATAATTACATATTTTCTCAAACTAATGACTTTTGGTGTTGAAACAATGAAGTATCTCCTCAAAATAATGACTTACTAGTAAAAATAATGACTTGTTTTCTCAAAATAATGACTTGTGTGGAATTAATGACTTACAATGACAAAACAATAACTTATTTTCTTAAAATATTGATTTATGTTAAAATGATTCTGACAAAAAATGACTCATCAAAAGAATGACTTATTTTCTTGAGATATAGAATTTCTATGTTGACATAATGGCTTATTTTCTCAAAATAATTACCTGCTCTGTCAAACTAGTGACTTCTTACCATAAAATAATTACTTGTTTTCTTAATTTTTTGACATTTTTTTGGAATTTTTTTTTTTCCTCGAACTGGCGCAAGTGGGCTTCCATACTGCCCCCTTACATCAAGTGATAATACACTAATGAAAACATGGTTTTGTTACTATGTTCATTTTCAGCTAATAGATCCCCCTAAATCTCACACACTGCACCTCAAATATTTATGAATCAAAATGACACCAAATGCTTTGACCAATCAACTACATTTAGGGAAAGAAAAAGTCAAATCTGGGTTTTAGTAAACTATTACTTTACTGTTTACATTGTGCTCATCTAAGAAATAAGTATGTTTTGTGACTTTCTTTGCATTCTGAGCTTTTGCAGTTCCTCGTTTACATCAGGCCCTCTTAGGAGTTTTCAGTCCTCAGAATAAATAAAAAAAAAGAAACAATAAAAAATTATTGGTTGCTTGATGTGCTTTAATTTATTATGATTTTTGTTAAAAAAGAAAAAAAAATTATTTCACACAAAACAATAATTTTCTAATATAAATGCATGGCCAAAACAGGAGAAAAAAGAGACAGTTAGAAGGAGCATTGGAAAATTGAAAAATAGTTATTTTTTTATTTATCATATTGTTTTCTATTCTTATTTATTTTTATTTTATTTAACTTTTTTCCTTCCCCTGTAAAGTGACCTTGGGTAAGAGAAAGATGCTATAAAAATGTAATTTATGACATAATAATAATAATAATAATAATAATAATAACTATTATTATTATGATTATGATGATGATGATGATGATGATTATTATTATTATTATTATGCCTGCTGGCCTTTTCCCACCAGGCCATAAAGTGCCATCATATTTTGTAACCAAACAAAAAGTTTCCAGCAGGTGTCACTGTTTTACATCTTCTGTGTGGCATCCTAGACGGCACGGTGGCGCAGTGGGTCCTTTCTGTGTGGAGTTTGCCTGTTCTCCCCCTGTCTGCGTGGGTTTCCTCCCAAAGTCCAAAAACATGCAGTCAGGCTGATTGGAAATGCTGAATTGCCCCTAGGTGTGTGTGTGAATGTGTATGTCTGTCTGTCTGCCCTGCGATGGTCTGGCGACCTGTCCAGGGTGTATCCTGCCTTCCGCCCAATGACAGCTGGGATAGGCTCCAGCACCCCACCGTGACCCAGAAGGATAAGCGGTTTAGATGATGGATGGATGTGTGGCATCCTTCTTCACCAGAAGTTCTTTTTTGAAATGTGTCTTTATACCAAAAACAGTCATAATTCATTTTTATATGACCATTTTTATCCCTTAGAAATAAACAGGCTGTTTTTGTTATTGCGCTGATGTAAATGAGCTCTGTTCTGATTGGCTGCCCTGTATTGTGTCTCATTCAAAAAGCAGTCCGAGCTGAAACACTCCTTATAACTTCAACATGAGTGGGCGGGACTAAACTGCCGTAGGCCGAATGGATCGATATACACCGATCAGGCATAACATTATGACATAACATTATCCTTGTTTCTACGCTCATTGTCCATTTTATCAGCTCCACTTACTATATAGGTGCACTTTGTAGTTCTACAGTTACAGACTGTAGTCCATCTGTTTCTCTGATACTTTGTTAGCCCCCTTTTACCCTGTTCTTCAGTGGTCAGGACCCTCATGGACCCTCACAGAGCAGGTACTATTTGGGTGGTGGATCATTCTCAGCACTGCAGTAACACTGACTCGGTGGTGGTGTGTTAGTGTGTGTTGTGCTGGTACGAGTGGATCAGACACAGCAGTGCTGCTGGAGTTTTTAAACACCTCAGTGTCGCTGCTGGACTGAGAATAGTCCACCCACCAAAAATATCCAGCCAACAGTGTCCTGTGACCACTGATGAAGGACTAGAGGATGACCAACACAAACTGTGCAGCAGCAGATGAGCTATCGTCTCTGACTTTACATCTACAAGGTGGACTGACAAGGTAGGAATGTCTAATAGAGTGGACAGTGAGTGGACACAGTGTTTAAAAACTCCAGCAGCACTGCTGTGTCTGATCCACTCGTACCAGCACAACACACACTAACACACCACCACCGAGTCAGTGTTACTGCAGTGCTGAGAATGATCCACCACCCAAATAGTACCTGCTCTGTGAGGGTCCATGAGGGTCCTGACCACTGAAGAACAGGGTAAAAGGGGGCTAACAAAGTATCAGAGAAACAGATGGACTACAGTCTGTAATTGTAGAACTACAAAGTGCACCTATATAGTAAGTGGAGCTGATAAAATGGACAATGAGTGTAGAAACAAGGAGGTGGTCATAATGTTATGCCTGATCGGTTTATGTAAATATGTGACAAAACAAATGATGCAAAACCGTCTATATGGACCAGGGAGTGATAAAGTGTGTTTAGAAGTTTTAACAATGTTTGCGTACAATGTTTATCACACAGTTTCCATTGAAACCTGTTCATAAACATTTGGTTGTTGCTATGGAGAAGGTTAGCTCACAGGCCAAGGGTTTTTAGGCCAATGTATTTAGTTAGGAAACCCAGACAAGAGATATCTGCAACACCAATGAATTAATAAGGCCCGTATAACTCATACCTGACCCTGAAAAGTCAGATAGTGACCCAGTCAGTATGACCTACAAACAAGGCAAACTGGCCAAAACAGTTCAGTGTGTGGAGAGCAGAGTGCAGGAAAATAACAGGGAGAGAAAGAAGGCCTGCAGAATTAAAGGAGAAGGCTAATAAAGATTGACTAAAGAATAAATAGCCTCGGTTGGCCTCGAAGCTGAGAAGCAGAGTGAGGGCGATCACCTCCGTTTGTTGTTCGACAAGGACATATCAACCCCTGGGTTTAGCTGCCCTGTTTAGGGAAGTTAAGTGGCTTTAAGAGGGAACATTGAGTTTCTATCTCCTTCTAAGCTCCCTGATAGGTACTGATAGCCACGCTCCCAGACAGAAATCTGATATATGGCAATATATACATTTCAAATATGTGACATTCATTAGTATATATGGATGTCTTTTATGCATTGTATATTATTCACTTATATATGTGACATATGGACACATGCCAACGCTGACTTTCAAATATGAAACAAGTAAATACATACATACGTACACACACACACACACACACACACACACACATATAT